TTTTTTTGTACGAGTTGTAAAAAAGTGGTAGTTTTGTGAACTGTGCTATGCTTCTCTTCTGTGTTCAGCTTTTCAAAGCACCAGTGTAGAGGATATCCAAGATATCCAGGATATCGACGACTGCCCCGACTCATGCAATCACACCACCGTCGGCGTGCCTTTTTGGAGGCTTTCCAGCTTCACCGTACGCTGCAGCACGCCAGGAATCGGCAGCTCGCAACATCAAGTATTATATTTCCCTGCTTTTTTTCTTTTTTTCATATCGCAGCCAAGTTTCCTTTTTGCAAAGTCATCATAATTCACATGAAAAGGTTTTAATTACTATATCGGTATGGTAAGACGTTTTTGTAGTCCTTTTCTTGTGATGTTCTGGAATGTTGAAGTTTTACTTGAGTTAACAGGCAGTTCTATTACAAAAAAAAAAAAGAAATTGGAGTAGTGCTTTTGCAAAGAGCAAATCTTTAAGATAACGAGATGAGTATTGGAAGTATGTGAGAAAACAAAAGCAGTTCTCAGCACTTTGATTAGAACATTCCCACTGATTGACTTAACTTCGCACTTCATTCTTTCGTCTAAATGGATTTTTCTGCAGCAGCGTATGGATGGTAAACAATCTAGCTTTGCATACGAGACAAGTTCGCTAATGATTTCTGCATGTGTATACGAATTTCAATAATTATGCGCACAACATGCAAACATTCATTTGGTCAAATGAACAGACACATGGTGAACGTTTATAAACTCGTACTTAGAACTCATGTCGAGTATATGTAAGTGGCTATCGTCTCGATGTAATCCATAAGGGCGTTACATGTGCCGCAGCAGCGCGCAGTGCCTTCGACTGTAAAACAATTGAGTTTGTTGTACTTAACGAGCTGTTCACACTGTTGCACTCCATCTCTGTCAGAACAAACATGATGTGAAGGCGTCGATGTGAATCCTGGAGGAAGAGTCTTGAAAGCGAGTGGCTCTTCTGTGGTCGTCGGCGCCCTCGCAAACGATGCGCTTCCCAATGCTGTACATGTACCACAACACAAGTCCATGTATTTGTTGCAATCGAGAGTTCCGTTCTTATCCATAAAGTAGCAGTTTAGGAGATCTTTGTCTATGCATTCTGAAATTCGACAACGTGAGGGAGAAGAAGATCTGTCGTAATTACTTCGCAAGTTCATACAGTAAGACATCCCATATCTCAACAACCTATGCATATGGGATATACTTTCGTATTAAAGCGTAGGAATCGAATATTAGTACATAGCTATACAGCTTCCGCGCTTGTTAAATTATAGAGACCTATACGTTTAGATCTTCAAACATGCCAAAGATCTGCCTATCGAGGAAAAATTAACAGTAAAATAACTAGAGAAGTTTGGTCAGCTTTTGAATTACAAACCCTTTTGCTTGAGTTGGAACTTTAAAAGAAACTTTATAAGAACTTT